CACACATCTTCCTCCTCGTCCCCCCCCCCTCTCTCTCTCTCAGCTTTTCATCTGACTCTGAAGCCAACTGTACTGGACAAGACCAGTCCAGCAAGAAGAGATGGCCTATCTGGCTCTGCTCAGCCTGAGAAGGACCAGTGAAGGAGGAGGACCTGACCAGCCCTACCAGATCATGTTCCTGACAGAAGAAGTGAGCTGGGATCCACAGCAATAGCTGTCATGGCTAATCTGTCCAACCAAAGCATCCGTCTGTGACTGACCATCTGCCCTGTATCCTGAGAATATCAACAAAAGTCGTATTTCCCTCATCTTTACTATCCTATCTCTACTCTCCCTTCTGTGTCTGTCTGTTTTGTATGAAGTAGGGAAGTGACTATCATTCCCAACTCAGGACTGAACAGAAGTATCCCTTTCTTCCCCACCGAGAAGTACTGTTTAACTGAATATGAGATTTTAACTAATATTCACTGTCTCCAAAAAGGGACTTTGTTACGTTTCGATTAAGCTTGTTTTACATAATCAACTTCCGTTTCAATGTTCTTTACCTCATTTTGAGTCTTGTCCTTTTGTATGTTTCAAATCAATAAATTTTTAACCTTTGGTATGAATTTTATTGTGTGTTCTCCAAAGTCCTAAGCAGACTGAGGTCTCTGTTTACCAAACCCCAAAACCTGTTTAAAACTGTTCAGTGTTAGATAGTTTCAGAGTCATGGCATCAGCTTTGACTCTTTGGGCCCTTTATTCCATCCAACTGAATATAACAGGGGAACACACATTAAACACTGTATGGAATCTCCTATTCATAAAATGAAGTCAATTAAACCAACAAAACCCTACTTTGAAATCTGAACTACAGTGAAATCTGTTGGACTGTGTAATAGTGATAAAAGCCACTTCACTTTAAGCATTTGAAAGTAGATGAGTCAAAGCACTGGAAATTATTCTGTTGGTGAAAATTCTGCACTGGCTGTAGTGAACTAGATGACCTACTTGCTCTTTCCCATCTTTAATTTCTAAAGGCCATATCCTACTCCTTTACTCTTTATTTACTTGGGCCTTATACAAGCAAAATTTGACTTTGGCTTTGTAAATGCATGAAATTGTAGATAGCAATGAGGAAGGGAGAGAGACAGATATCTTAGAAAATACAATACAAAATGCACATCAGTTTGTCTAACAACAAGGGGAAGGGAGGAAAGGCAAATTCTTAGCATGAAATAAAGCTTAATTTATAAATAGTAGCAGAATCAAATAAGCATGGTCCACTTCACATGCTAGAAGAGGTACTATGAGGGAAATGTAATATGATAATCTAAGGATCATCTCCTAATGACTGTGGCTGGTTAATAAATGGAATATTATAAAACCAGATCACTTTTAGCTGGAAATGATTACTCCTCTACTATAGGTGCAAATAAATAACATAGCTAAACTGCTCTTGCTAAATGAGGCTTCCTAGAGATAAATGTTTTCAAGCTTTTAGATAAAATTGTTCATTCATGGTAGGTATACAATATAGTTACTTTTATTTAGTACTTCTACAATGGCATTAAATCTGTGATGGAAGATGCAAACACAACCCCAGGAGGTTGAGGAAAGAAATGCTTCATCTGACTCTCAAGCAACAGGGTGCAGTCAAGACTCAGACCAAAACTGATAGGCTCTGGAAGAAGGCTCATCCCACCCTCCTTAACTGAGGGCTGGGGGTTTGGGGAAAAACTAAGAACAAAAAGAAGAAAATAAGGAGACAGAAAATTCTTCTCCGTAATGCATTTCTTTTCTGTGAATGGCACAGAAGTTTCAATAATATGAGAAGCTATTACAGTGTAGCAATGTGCACTTATGCTACAGATGATATTTCCAGATGATACTATTAAGCACTAAACTGTTATTCTATGGGATAAACCCCTTCTACTACTGGGAAATTTGCTGTTTTTTCACTGAATCATAATATAGAAAAATTACAACAATTATCACCTTAGGGAATGGTAGACACCACACTTTTTAACATAGCTACCACAAAGTACTATCATATTTCCCAGTCACTGGAAGGTAATTCCACTATGGCCTCTTTGGGATAGCACTGATTATTTTTGTTGCATTCCTTGTCAATAACTACAGGCAATTTGTGTTACAACTGTACTTCTCACATAGAAAGCTACTGGTGCTACTTCTATCATACCTGAACAGTCTTGAGGAAAATTTTACTGACATTCAAAATCTAGGTGACAGTTTTTAGTTTCTCTTTGTTGAATTCCTTCATTAGAACCCTGTCTAGAAGAAATATGTATTCCAAAGAAAAAGGGATTGCTTTCTCTCCCTCTCTCTCTTTTTGTATTGTGAATATATTGTATAAAAGCTTGTCCTGTTTCCCATTAAGTCAACTAATTGCTTAATTACTACATTTTAAAAAGAAAGCATCCTCTACTAATATCTTAATTGTATTTCATTCCAAAAATAAAGAACTGGTCTTTGTTAAGATTTTGTGGAACTGAAATAAACCATTCTCAGATTTTACATTTAATGTATGGAATCTGCCTTTGAGTTTTCTTCTGGTTTGGGGATTGTTTCCTTCTAAAAAAAAATCCTCTGATTAAAGGATTCTTAAGTAAATGGAATAGAGGGCAGTACTCCGTGCATTTTGAAAGCACTGTACTAAGCAAGCCTGGTTAACTCTTTGAAAGGAGAACAAAGTGAGCTAGAACTTAAAGACATCGTCTGCACATACAAAGTCCAGTATTTTCCATTTTATTCATCTTTCACCATTATACTGATGTTAATTATATTGCTTCTACCCTAGTAGAGAAGATCACCAAATGCTTTCTCTGAAATCAGATTATAGTGTGCTCAGAAGATAATCCTTCTGCGCATAAAGCTGTCTTACAAAGTGATTGGGGAAAATAACACACAAACAAATAGCCATGACACAAGCCATGTCTTTTTCCCCCCATACATCCTTACAAAGGTGAACACAAAATCTTCCAGATGAAAAACAAAGAGAACAAACATACCTTGCTTTTGTTCCTTCATTGATACTATAGAAGGCGCAGCTACATTGGGAAGGGCAAGTGCAGTGAGCCGAAGGCAGTCCTCCAAAAACTAAGCAGCAGACCAAGCCCACAGTGATCCACATTGTTACCTGCACATGAGGACGACTTCCAGATACTAGACAAAGTGAAGATTTTTCTCTATTGTTTTGTCCAGGGACTGGTCACATCTTGTTAACTCTCTTTCCATTTCATTCGCACAGTGATCTTCCAGCCCTCACTGAATCCATCAGATAAAAAAGGATAGGCAGGGGATTAAGGATGGGGACTTGAGTTATTTTCATGTAGGTGCTTATTGCTTCCGGGAATCACACAGACAAAGCATTTCTTCCCTCAGCGAGCAGCATCAATCCTGGATTCCAATAGAAAACCAGTGATTGTTGAATGGAACAACATAGTCTTTTTGTGATTCTAACAATGACAACATAAATATTACTTTAACAGATGTTGCCAGTAACTCACTTTCCTGTAGTGATTTCTTGAGTATTCAAAAAGGGTTCATAGTACTGCAGGAATCTGAGCCACTGAGAATATACAAAAATATGGAAAACTGTTTTATTGATTTGTCTTTTCTTAAAAAAAAAAAAAAGACCAACAGTTTAACGATTGATTAATTTTGCCAGTATGACCAATGGTATAAAACTAAGAATGATACAGTAGCTAGAACTTTAATAAAATATTAAATACATACATTTTCCAGGTGTTTCTCCCAGTGCTAACACATTCCTGAAAGACTAACCATCCCAAGACTGCTTACTGTGCTTAAGAGCCTTTGATGAGGGACCTTGCCAAATGTTTTCTGAAAGTCAAAGTATACATTATCAGCAGGATCACCCTTTCCCACATGTTTGTTGACACTCTCAAAGAATTTGAATACATCCGTGAGGCATGATTTTTCCTTTACAAAAGCCATGTTGACTCTTCCCCAACATATCATGTTCATTGATGTGCCTGAGAACTCTGTTCTTTACTATAGTTTCAACCAATTTGCCTGCTACTGAAGTTAGGCTTACCTGACAAAAGTCAGATGAAAGTCTTCGCATCCTGCAATATAAATTTAATAAGGCTGATTATGAGCTGAATTATACTGGTGTAAATCAGGAATAATTCCAGTAAAATCTTGGCCCCCCAGGAAGCTAATGGGAGCTTTGCATTGACTTCAGTGGAACCAGGCTTTCACGCAATGGTGTTACTGTTGTGAAAACTGGTGTAGATGAGATTAGGATTCTTTATTTTGTGGCACACTGCTCAGTGTTTCTGAATTCAGCAAAAAGGCTTCTACCGCTCCTGCAGGACCATTTCTTTTCTTTTTACCACTAGTCTATTTCCTGTCACTTTCCATCTTCTCTACTGAGGGCTAAGATCAGAAAAGGAAAAAAAATCCTCAGGAATGAGATTTCCTTTGGTCTTGTTCACTGGCCCTTAGATCAGAAAGCATGGCCATTATAGTTCCTCCTTTCAGTGCTTTCTTAGTGAGGAGTAGCTTTGGCTCTGCCTACTTGCTATCCAGTTGCTCCTGGGGGAAGCATCTGGGCCTAGCCCCTTGTGCTCCCCTGAATGCCAGGGGTGAAACTGAAGTTCCATCCCTTACACACCCTTGCAAGGAAACAGTGAATCCTTACACCCATTTATGCCTCTGTGTAACCAAGTAAGGGCTAGGCACATTCTAACTTTAAGTAGATCATGAATATTTAAAAAAAAAAAAAAAAAACATTGACTTGCAGGGTTTCTACCTGATTATTCCATGAAGGAAGGATTTGTCCTGAAGAACTGCTAGGAATGTTTTCCCCCAAAACTCAGATATCTTCCAGATCTTCTTGGGTGTTGAGAGACTGAGAAAGGTGAGTGCCATTCATTCAGAGGTGCTGGCCTCTACACAGATTCAGTGCTTTCCCTGACCCTCAGATCTGTTCAGCATCTATAGAAGCACTGCTTCCCCACCAGCCACTGCCATCAAACCCTCTCATCTGAGGTGGGGAATTATCTATGTGATGAGGGAACCCATATAATTTGATGCACATGAATTTATTCCAGCAACCCATGCAGGGTCGAAGTGGAGGATAATCCCCTCAAACCCACACTTGCCCAACACTCTTCACCGACAACCCTCCCTATTATGGATAAGTTGCTTTGTGTTTCCGTTCAGATACGTAATCAATTCAGCCCTTCATTAATAACTTATGTATTTCTTGCAGGAAAAACTGACACACTACTGAATGTTAATGGATAAATTACAGTAAGAGCAGTGGACATTATTTCTAACAAAGAACCTTTACTAATGTTTTTACTATAGAATATATTTACCATAAAATTCATTTTTAGTTCTTCATCAAAATGAAATATCACTAGCAATTGTATTATAACCATGGGTAAAGAATACAAAGAAATAAGAATTTCAAGGTAACGTATATGTGATGTGTGGGCTAACTATTAAGTAGTCATTTACAGTGCCATGATTTTGTGCCAGTTTGTCTCACCAGTAACTAAGTGATGATTTAGACCACAAGTCTTGCAAAAATCAGTTATTCTGAGAAGTGCTCAAAGGATTATTTTTCCCCATGCTATTTTTATATTTAATGTTTATTGTTCTTTGAGAAGAACTTCAAACAGCCCCTTATTTGTTTCTTAGATATCTGTGTGATATGGGGGACTGTCGTTAATGGTTGAGCTTCCCAGAGAGAGTGTCTGGTCCAGGTGCTGTGGACATGTTGTTGTTATGCACAGCCAGTTGAAACCAGACACAGAATAAAGAAGAGCCCTTAAGCACTGTAAGCACAGAGTGATCTATGAGCAGCAAATGGCATGAGCAGTGGTGTGTTTGCCAGGCCCTGGTGACGTCTCAAGCAAAGAAAAATATTTGGCATCAGCCATTTCCCCAAAAATTTCTCCCCTGATAGGTAGTGGAAAATGTTCCCTTTTTACATATTTATTTCATTCTTTTAGGTCTATATACAAGTGAAGGGTTCTGTCTTTTTTCCTACAATAACCAATGAGTTTACTCACTCTGCTGATTCATTTATATGCGTGCTATGATTCCCAAAGCAATAAGCCTACCCAGCTCCTCTTTTAGTCCCTGCCTTAAGGTGAGGGGAACTTTTGTAGAGGCATGAATTGTGGGGCAGTTGGGCTCTTTCAGCTCTTTTTTGTACTCTGTTGAGAGCTTCCCTATCCCTCAAGGATAGAGAGATTATTTTTTCAGCTACAAATGTACAGTCTCTGAATAGAATTCAATCCTGGGAGAGATTTGGTGGTTGCAGACACATCTAGTAGAGCATTTGACAAAAGGGCAGTAGAGCAAAGTAGGCATAGATTTGTTTCCACTGTCTGGAAAAAACTATGTACTTGTCCTAGATAATTATAGAAGATACTACAGAAGATACTAGAAGATACTATAGCAAAACAAGTGATCTGAATATCAAATCTCACTAGAAGATACTACAGCTAAACAAGTGATCTGCATATCAAATCTATTTTTACTAGACATGGTCTAACACAATAGTGTCAGACAATGGGCCACAGTTTAGTGGGCATGAGTTTAAGCAATTTGTAGGGAAGAATGGGTTAGATGTATCACTGTCAGTCCCTGTTATCCCCAATCCAACAGGCTGGTGGAAAATGGTATCAAAAAAATAAAGCACCTACTGAAAAAGTCTGTGGAGTCAGAATCTGGTTTGTATTTAGCACTGATAAACTATAGAATGGCACCAATGAAGCATGGGTTGTCACCAGCTGACATTTTGTTCAGCAGGAAATGAAACTAAAACCAAAAATGCCTGCCCCAAATGTCTTATGTCAGAATCACTGGGGACTTGCAACTGTATAAGAAGATGCATAAGGAAAACAACAAAAAAATCAGTATGATTTGGAGTCCAGGGAGCTTCATGAAAATGACACAGTGCAGCTCCAGGATGGGAAACAATGATCATAAACAGCAGTACAGTCAAATAAGTCATATGAGCTTGTCTCCCCAGAGGGAGGTATACTATGGAAAAATAGGCAACACTTTCTCCAAATCCCAGAAGGAAGGGAGGACGACATTATCACGAAGCACCTTTTAGAGCATGCCAGCAGGTTCTACAAAGGGCAGTTAGAGTGCAACATGTTAGAGTGTTTTACAAATCATACCCCTTTAGTGCACTTTGCCTGGATTGTGTAGACAAGCCCTCAGAGTCCCTTAACTCCCTCCCTTCTGGGTGTAATCACTGGTCAGCTTACTTTAATGCCCAGACTTCGTCCCTTCAGTCTGATTCTTGTGGCCCTGAGTAAGACAGCAATCCTTATTAAATGTGCAATTCTACTCTGAAAAGTGATTCTGTAAATATAGCACCCTTTCCTCTGTTTTTTTTTACATGCAGCTAAACAATGTGTTGCCACCAAAGTAGCCTTCTTGAATAACAAACATGTAGAAATTACTTTAAGGTAGGGTTTAATTTCATGAAGGCATATTCCTCAATTTTGCCTCTGTTAAGACACCTTTAAGTAATGAATGGCGGAAAGGCTGAAAGTAAATATACTTTATAAAAATAATAATTGACAAAAAGTGTCCCTTAAATAGCTGCTATTGCTATACACTAGTTATAGAAAATTGCTAATTAATTACTATGGAAGACCACATTTCTAGAAGAAATAGAAAAAAAAGACCATTTGGTAGACCCATGTAATAATCAAATAAAAGTCATGTTATTCAGAGGCTGTTGAATTTGGGGCATATGTTCATTGATTTCAGAGACAGATGCATGGCAAAACGTGAGAGAGAACCAGAGAAACGTCATGATAATACATTCCCATGATTTCCAGAATGTCCATAATTTTAAACTTTCATCAAATATTCCTCACCACGCTCATTGTGCCACCATATATTGCCTATTATTATTTGTATATCAATGTAACTGTAGATTAGGTTAAATGTTTCAAGCCAATAAAGTCTCTACCCCAAAGAGGTGAAATACAGAATAAAAAGACTGTCAGGAGAAATGGAGATACAGATGGTGAAGAAGTCTCTGTTGGAAGGGATTTGACGGAGAAAAAGGAGGGGCCTTGGTGTATAGGAAATGGGAGAATGTTCCCAGTGGGTGCGCAGCATGAAAGAAGACGCAAAGTAAAGTGAGGGAGGAGAGTAGAAGGATAAGTAAGGATAAGTAAGGAGAGATGATACTGAGGCCTGGTCCACACTACACTGTTAGGTTGACATAACGCAGCTAATTATGTCAGTGTACGCACTACAGCCCTGCCCCATTGATGTAAGTGCCCTACTACACTGACATACACTGAGAGGTGTCGCACTTATGTTGGTGTAGTTACGGCGAAATAGTGTCCGCGTAGACACTACGTTACCTGCTTCAGCTTTTGGCCATCTCCAGTATAGCTGTGAAATTGACAAGAAAGCTGGGCAGTTAGAGTCTCCCTACTCCCAGCTGGGCTGCTGGCTCTCAGCTCCACATTGACCCTCTGACATCAGTGGAAGCGCTCCTGGTGAGGCTGTGCACCACCGACAGAAGGAGGGTAGTGTGGAAATCAGCCACCACAGTAATTACTGCAATGACTGTAAGTCGATCTAACATAGGTCAACTTAGGGCTGTAGTGTAGACATGCCCTGAGAAGAGTAAGGAATGAGAGGCATGCCTAAGAGCAGATGTCAGTGCTCCCATCCTTCAGTAACTCTATAATTAGCAGTTTAAAAAAACCCTCTGTATCCAAAAGATACAAAAGAAGTCCCTTGGTGAACACACTCTGAGCCAATTCAGACCTCGGTTAAACTGCAAATAACTTTCAGTGCAACCCAATACAATTTTTTCCATCTCATGTAACACAGATTTGTAGCTTGTTGGCAGTGCAGCCAACAATGCAGTGTAGGAGACACCTAGATCTCAATATTAATTATATTTATCACTTATATAGTGCTTTATCTCATCACACTCAGGGCCGGATTTCCAATTAGGCACAGTAGGCCCGTGCCTAGGGGTGCCAGCATTTTTTTAGGGGCCCTAAAAGTTAAAAGTGGGTTAAAAGTTAAAAAGTTAATACATACAGTTCCCCTGCAGGCGGGCGGGCTCCTGGTGCAGGTTGGCAGCCATCCGGCATGTGGGGCTGGAGCAGGGTGAGCTTCTGAGTCCGCCTACCTGGGGGTGCTGTGAGCCATGGCCGGGCGGGGTGGCTGCTGAAAGGTGCTGGGAGTTTCACAGCCCCTTCCTAATCTCGGCTGCCCCACTGCCTCTTCCCCATGCCAGGGAAGGTCAGGGAGGGGTATGGCCGGCTTGCAATTCATTTGCACGGGCAGAGCCAGAGCAGGGCTGCTGCGCTGGGCTGTGGGAGGAATGGAAGACATCAAGGAACCACTCACCATGGGGAGAGGTACAGTCCCCACCCCTTGCGCCTTGCCTGATGTGGGTGGGCTGCACCCCCGCTCAGGCTGGGAGCACCGTGCATGGAGGAGGGTCTCGTGCCTTCCCAGGGAGGCTGTGTTTATATTTATTTTCGTTTCATTTTTTACGGAAAACACAAAGGTCAGCTGTAGGTGGGCGGGGGCACTGAAGATGCTGTGCCTAAGGGCGCGTAAGGTGTAAATCCGTCCCTGATCACATTGCTACAAATACTAAAACATCACTTAATTTATCATTAATGTTAATTAATTAATTCCCTTCATATTGTATGCTAC